TTAAAAGCCTTCCACTAGCTGGCTCCATCTAAGCAGTAGAAAATTATCTACCCCTAAGTGACAACTCATTTAAAGATATGGTAAAAGCCTGACAAATACTTGATATCTGTTATATATGGGAGGCTACAGAGTGAAGAAATAACAAAAATCCAACTATTCCTCCATGGTCCCTAAGAGCATTAGTGCTCTGAAGGTTTCTAGCTCCAGACAGAAGTTTAGCAGTATGGGACTGGGTATTTTCAATACATACCATGTGTAGTGAGCACTGACATGCAAAAGTATGGGAGAAGATAAAATACAAGCAGTTAAAATAGGAAGATGTGGACTATAATAGAAATTTAAATGTTCAGATGCACAGAATACTTTTGTGGATCCCAATGATTTCAGAGTTTTAATCATAATTTGAGCACTATCAACAAATACTTAAAATGGTGTTAAAAATAGCCTTTTTCAATATTTTGGATATCCTAATAACCTCTCTTGAGCCAGTGCTTTTAAAACAAATAAACCAGTAGAATGAACCAAAAATGAATGAACCACATTTAATGACTGGCTAATCTCTGAAAACATTGGTAATTTGGTGTGATGTGACAAACTGGTATATGATATCTGAAACAAAGAACAATTACCAAATGTAAGAATTAAATTATAAATTATTAGCAAAACTAACAAGTAACTGGTTTACTGAAATAGAACATCTTTAAAGTATTTGAACTATTATTAAGTGAACCCATATTTACATTAGTCTCCTAAGGACTGTGTTCAGCAAATACAGGCATGTGCCATTACTCCAAAGTCCTTAGTGAAACAGAAGATCCAATTAATAGGCTACTGATCCCTAAAAGGAAAGTTAGTAATGTTTAGTCTTTGTGGAAAAAGTATATGTCATTAAAATATTAAGTTAAAAATCCAGACATTTCAACATACATGAGCTTTATGATAAGGGTTGTTGTCGTTGATTCCTGGTAAATATCTACGCCTTCCCAAAATGGTCTGAACAAACCCGTCTCTTTTACAATTCTTCACTGTCTCTCTCATGAAATGATTAATCCCTACAAAGAAAATACAAAAATATTTACAACCAAAGTCCATTCCTAAGCTCATTCACTAGCTTCAATATAATGAAATATACCAACACCCTACCATGATTCTTCACACTATATCACATCATCAAAACCTTGCATATAAAGTTTCATTCACTTTTTGTAGACTCAGAAACAAAAGGGACTTTAGAAATGACATAATCTATCACCAACAAAAAGTACGAAACTAAAGTCCAGAACAACAGAGGCACTAAAACCTAGGATCTTAAGGCAATTCCATGTTACTTTTCACAGGCTTCTTCTGCTCTTTGATTGTGTTAATCTTCTTTTACTTGGTCTTATCACTTCCAGGCTTAAAATATTCTAACAGCTCCTTGTTAGCATCTAAGCTATAATCTAAATAGGACCTAGTTGAAATTAATACATGAATAATAAATACTTCATTAGGAATATATACAACTCACTTTTTAAAATTTAAAAAGACTAGGTATAGTATACTATTCAAACACATTCATATTCCCTATACCAGCATGCATACTTTGCAATATAGGTTCATTATTATGTCCTATAGATCTTCAGGGTGAGTCTGTTGTTCTAGGCAGGTCAATGTCTTCACTGCTTATTCCTGTCTCTGAGTTAGAGAGGTCTTCTCTATGGTATTTAAAACACAATCAAGTATAGAGACTGTGCTGATCTATCTTTATTCATATGTGCAATCTCTGCTTTCTCATCCTAAATAATAAACACTAACATCTCCTAACTAAAACCCCTCATTTGAGGATTTCCATTGTGTGGCTGGCACAGGAGAGACATTTGAGGAGACTGTGGATGAAAGGAAAGGGAGAAAACTTCGCCAACTGAAGCTCTTGGTAATATTCAACCACCAGCATAAGAATTTCAGAAAGCAATTAAGGCTCTCACCTTTTTCTGTTTAAGAATTACTGTGATATTGTTGAGTGAAGAGCAAAGAAAAGGATGAAATTGAAGAGGCCACATCTCTACAAATTCTCTTACCTGACTCCTGTCAGAGGCCCTCAAATATTCAGAGGTTGAAAGAACACCTTTAAAAATGCAAACAAACAAAGGAAAGAGCGAGTGGGGGGGGGGCGGGCAAACCAGGAAACAGACTCTCAACTATAGAGAACAAACTGATGGTTACCAGAGGGGAGGTGAGTGGGGGACAGGTAAGACAGGTGAGGGGGTTAAAGAGGACACTGTGATGAGCACCAGGTAATGTATGGAAGTGTTGAATCACTGTATTGTACACCTGAAACTAATATTACACTGTCTGTTAAGTAACTGGAATTCACATAAAAACTTAAAAAAAAAATCAATCCTGAGGTATAGTTTACATACAGTAGACGGAACCCACTTTAGGTGAACAGTTAGATGCATTTTAACAAATGTACACTGCAAGATATGAAACATTTTTTATCACCTTTACAGTCAGCTCCCCATTATCAGCCTCAAACTCACTGATCTGCTTTATGACACTGTATCTTGGTTTTTCATGTTCTTAAAATTCATAAAAATTGAATTATACTGTATGTTCTCATTTGAGCTTGCTTTCTTTTGCTAAGTAGTATTCCATTGCAGAGATATACCAAAATTTGTTTACCCATGATCCTGCTCATAGACATTTGGTTGTCAGGAATAAAACTGCTATCCCATTCACATACAAGTCTTTCTTTGGATATGTTTTCATTTTTCTTGGACAGATACCCAATAGTAAAATTGCAGGATCACATAATTAACTGTGTGTTTCACTCTATATGAAAGAGTCATAGTGTTTTCCAAAGTGGTTGTACCATTTTACAACTCTACCAGCAATGTAAAAGACATACAATGTTTTTTTATTTTAGCCATTCTAGCGTTTTTGTAATGGTATCTCTTTGTGGTTTTAATTTGCTTTTCCCTGATGACTAATCATGATAACATTTGATGTGGCCATTCATATATCTTCTTTTGTGAAGTGTCTGTTCAAATCTTTTGACCTTTATTTTATTAGATTGTTTGCCTTCTCAGCATTGGGTTATAAGAGTTTTTTTTATATATTCTGGATGCAAGTTCATTAGACAATAAGAACTGCAAATATCTTCTCTTTTGTGGCTTGCCTTAGATTTTCTTAATGGTGTCTTTTATCAATGTTTATCTTTTATGTTTAATTCAGTGTAATTATCACCTAAGAAATCTTTGCCTACCTCAATGTCACAAAGTATTTTCCCCCTATTTTCTTCTGGAAGATTTATAGTTTTAGCTTTTACTTCTAAGTCTATGCTCCATATCAAGCTAACTTTTGAATATAGTATTGGATAATTGTTGAAGTTCATTTTTTTCCCATACTGGTATCCAGTTGTTCTAGAACCAATTGTTGACAAGACCATCTTTCCTCCACTGAATTACCATGGTAACTGTTGAAAATCAATTCACCATATATGTATAGGTCTATTTCTGAACGCTTTATTATGACCCATTGTTTTTCATGTCTACTCTTATGCCTATCTTGATTATTATAGTTTTATACTAAGTTTTGAACCCAGGGAGTGTTAGTATTCAACACTGTACTTCCCCCACCCCCAAAATTTTCCTAGTTATTCTAGGCCCTTTGAATTTCCATATAAATTTAGAATCAGCTTGTCAAATTCTACACAAAAGTCTAATGAAATTTTGACTGGAATTAAACTGAATCTATAGAACAATTTAAAGAAAACTGCCATCATAATAATATTGTGCCTTCTAATAAATTAACATGGTAAACCTCACATTTATCTAAGTATTCTTCAACTTCTCTCAGGATTATTTTAGAGTTTTCAGTAAAGTCTTGCATATGCTGTTGAATTTATCCCATGTATTTCATGTATTGTGATGTTATCATAATGGTTTTATTTTTACTCCATTCACTAATTACTGGTATACAAAAATCCAACTGATTTTTACAAATTAACCTTGTATGGGGGGTGGGGTGCCTGGGTGCCTCAGTGGGCTAAAGCAGCTGACTTTGGATCAGGTCATGATCCCCGGGTCCCGGGATCCAGCCTCACATCAGGCTCCACACTCAGTAGGAAGTCTGTTTTTCCCTCTTCCTCTGCACCCCCATCCCGCTCGTGCTCTCTAATAAATAAATAAAATCTTAAAAAAAAAAAACCCTTGTATAGTCAGACACTTCTAAATTTAGTTATTTGTTCTAATAGTTGTTTTTGTAGAATTCATATGATTTTCTATGTATAAGATCATGTCATGTGTGAATAAAGTTTTCTTTTTTGGGGACTGAGGTCTGGGCTGATTACAAAGGGTATAAAATAACTTTCTGGGACCATATGTTAATGATTCCATATCTTGGTTGTGGCGTAGGTTATATGACTCCATGCATTTGTCAAAACTTATACAAATATACATCTATAAGGGGTAAATTTTACTGTATGTAAATTGTACCTGAATAAATTGCCAAAGGAAAAGATAATTTAAAATAATAATACTCAAACTGCTCTTGTTCTTTCATAGTTTCTGGTACATTTAATCAATGGTTTACTGTTTCAAATTAAAGCTATCTAAACCTAAAGCATAGCACAATTCCAAGATTTTATGGTATGTTCACAATGACAAAGTAGCATATACATCAACTGGATTTTGTTATTCCATTTCTGTTTCTATTTTTATGAAAAAAGACCATCTTAGTAAATAATCATAAGGTTGATGTTATTTAATTAACAATACCTGGTGAAAACTTCCGAGTAATAGAAATGTTAACAGAAAATTTTGTAACACTATTTTTTTCAATTAATATGGCAAGATAATTGAATGGTATCTAGAAGATAATTAATATTTAAGGTTTCTTTACCTGTATATCTGGATTTGAAGGAATCAATGTAGCAAGCAGCATCATTTTCTTTAATGCCCATCTGCTCTCCCAATGATTTAGCACTCATTCCATAAATGATTCCATAGCAAATCTGAAAAGGAGTCATCACACTCAGTAGGTAAATTAAAGGTCATAACTACATAAACTGTAAATATAAAAAGCTGATGGAGATTGAAATTTGGTAAATTTTTTATTTCATAGTGTGTCAAAGAAATGATTAGATCTGCTTTTGGTAGGTTAGATTCATAGAACCTGATATCCAGTGAACATCTTTTCTCTTTTCTGCCTTTTAACAATACTTTGGGGCTGGGGGAGGAAGGGGAAGAACATGAAGAAATGTGAATGTGTGTGTTTTAAGAAACTAATCCTAGCGATTTAAAAGGGAAGATTTATTTCTGACTCTTTGTCATGTATCCAGTAGTCTTCAGAGCAGCTTTCTACTCCTACCACATTAACTCCTGCTTAGAAAAGTGCCCAGGAGTCAGGAAAGAGAAGCATTACAAACATTCCTCTCCTGGCTCTTGCATAGGATAGAGCAGGAAGAGGAGGCTTCGTGGTTGGATAACAGGGAATACTTCTTTGGAAATAAATATGCTTTCCACCTCACCACCACCTGATATCCCACAATTGCAGAATTCAATTGGGTTAAACAAATTCCTGAGGAAATTTTGGGAGTAGTGGAGGGAAATGGTCTAAATAGGTCAGTAGGAAACTGTAATTTAATAATAAGTATTGCCTGGGTTTAAATCCTAGTTCCAGCATTTATCCAGGATTATCTTGCAGAAGCTACCTAAAGTCTTGTACCTCAATTTCTGCATCCATTAAATGAGGATAGTAATACCTGCATCATGGAATTGTGAAGATTACCAAGTTATTTCTTCTAAGTGTTCAGGAAACTGTCTGATATAAAGCAAGCACATATAAATATCATTAAATATAATTTTAAAAGATAACTTGCAAAAAATGATTATCAGAGTTCCAAGCTACTTTTAATGTGATAAAAACAGCCAGAAGTTTTTATCCTTTCCCTGTCTTTTTTAATACATTGAGAAAGATTTTTTTCCCCTCCTTTTACCTTTTCCTTTTTGGTATTTCTACATTTTATTTTACTGTGACTCCCACTTTCTTTTCTTTTTTTTTTTAAACTTGGGTAGTAGATAGCACTGGCTGAGATCTCCGCCAGACCCAAGGAGCAGACAGTTCAGAGCATGGTGATTGAGTATAGCATAAACACTACATAAATCATGCAAGAACTTACGAACTAGAGGCAGATATCATCAGTGGATGAGTGCTTAGGTTATAAAGTCAGAATGTCTAAGTTCTGGCATTCTGAGCTCATCCTGGCTCCACCACTTATAGCTGTATGACCTTAAGCAAATTACTAGCTTTTGGTGCGTCAGTTTACTCCTATATAAAATGGAGTATATAGGAATATAAAATACCTATTTCATGGGTTTATTATGAAGATTAAATATTTGAACATTACCTATTTTACCCAGGGTTCAATTCTTGCTGAATGCAGGACCCAGAGATTATTAAACAGAGAGAGCAAAGCTGGTTTTCTAAAGAGTGGAAGAACCAAGTGCTGGTGCTGAAGAGGTAATGGCGAGAGGAAGGGTTTCATGCCTAACGAACCAGTCAAGAATCACGGCCATGAGTAACTAGAAGTATAAAGGCAAAACTAACACAGCAGGATCTTAAAGGTGGGAATGATGTTCCTTTGCCTCAGCCAGCAAGCCTACTCTCTCAAAAATGGCATCAGATTTCCCATAGGCCAAGTGGTGAAAAAAAGTATCAGTGTCAATGGAGGCCAGGAAATGGTGGAAATGTGGCCTTTCACTTTCTCTGTGCATGACAGTCATACAGGAGTAGGAACTCATACGGACCCACTTGAAAAGTCCAAGGACAATATAAAGTTTCATATGTGGATTAGCTAACCAACGACCTCAAAAAACGAAAAAGCTATCAGTTTATTATAATCCACAGCTCAGTTTTTTTCAATAAACATTTAGAGAACACCTGTAAAAATAAAAAGATGAAAATATGTTTACAGACTAGAAGGACATTTTTAAAATACACACACATACACATAAATAACAACTAGCAGCACCACAATATCTACCATTAATGTAGATGGCTTTCCTCACATGAAGGAGCCTCTCAGACTACGTCTATCGATTCTTTCTACTGACCCCATGAAGGAAAGTATAATGAATGCCATGAGACAGGCTCAGGTGAATGTGGTTTGAAAGATCCACAGATGGAGAAATCATTCCTCAACTGAAAATGATCAAGGCAATTTTTAAATTTTTTTAAAATTTTTTTATTTTTTTCTGTTAACCACCATACATTACATCATAAGTTTTTGATGTAGTGTTCCATGATTCATTGTTTGCGTATAACACCCAGTGCTCCATTCAGTACATGCCCTCTTTAATGCCCATCACCAGGCTAACCCATCCCCCCACCTCCCTCCCCTCTAGAACCCTAATCATTAAAATTCTCATATATGTTAAGCATGTTCACTAAGATCACCTGCTTTGCTTGTTGCCTCAGATCATCCCCAACAGACTCTGGCTCAATCATCTTCCACTCAGCTGCAATACTCCTGAAAACATCAGCTCCAGTGTTTAATACTTGAATGAGGCGACGATCGTGGGATAAATGAGCCAAGATCCTCAGTTCAAGTTGAGAGTAATCAGCAGCTAATATTAAACCACCTGAAATAGAAATGATTTTAGAAAAGCTGGTACAAAGATAAGTCCAGGGTTTATATAATTGAGCAGGATGACAGAAATTTAGATCTAACAGAACCGTAAGATTAGGGGAAGGGAGGAAAAACTGAATGGGAAGAAATCAGAGAGGGAGACAAACCAGGAGAGACTCTGGAAACAAACTGAGGGTTACAAAAGGGACGGGGCTTGGGGGGATAGGGTAACCGGGCAACGGGTATTAAGGAGGGCACATGTTGTAATGAGCACTGGGCGTTATATGCAACTAATGAATCGTTTAACACTACATAAAAAACTAATCATGTGCTATATGTTGGCTAACTGAACATAATAATAATAAAATTAAATTAAAAGAACTATAAGGTTATGTACCCAAAAGTTAAAATCTTGCTCTTAACGTGATACAATTCAGTTCTGTAACTTAGACCATTTTGTTTTTTTTTCTGTTTAGCTTTCAAGTATATGTAATATGTGTAAAGCCACCCCTGACCTCTGCCCCTTAAACCACTGTGGTAGTGCTTTCTTCAGTGTTTCTACAGCACCTGACACATAATCTAAAATGGTTCTTTCATGCTTCTCCCACATAGCACAGAGCCATTAGGGATGGGATACTTAATTTTCCTTTGCATTCTCAGAAATCCTTGCACAGTACTGGTACTTCATAGCCCCTTAAATGGTTGTTGAATAAATGAATGAATGAATGAATGAATGAATGAAGCAGTTTTGCAATGTGTGCACATTTTAAGTGGGCTGGAGAGAAACATGTGCTCTGCTTTGACAACAAAAACATTCAATGGAAACAATCAAGGGGTTGATATGTGGAGAAGAGTTACAGGATTAGGAGAGTTTACCTATGTAATAGAAATGACTGGATTACATAATGGGAAAACAAAATTTAAAAGATCATGGCTAAAAAAAAAAGGAGAGAAAATATTTGCAACTGATGCTACCATGGACTCATTGCCATATTATAAAAAAAAAAAGTGCTACAAATCAAGAACAAGACAAAATATAAACAAGCAGTTCACAGACACCATCAAAAGAACCTTAAACATACTAAAGAATGCTCACCTTCATTCACAATAAAAGAAATTCAAATTAAAACTACAGCAAGAAACAATTTTTCTCTACTTAAATTGCAAAAATCCAGAAATTGGACAGCACATTCTGTGGCAAGGCTGAGAAAGAAACACATACCGTTATTGGGGACTAAATGGTTACTGTCCCCCATTACATTGCAATTCAACAATATCTATCAAAATTGATCAGGTTTATTCTGTGATTCAGCAAACCCACAGTTTGTTACACAGACAACCTGCACAGAGATTAAACTGGTTTACGTTCAAATTTATTTACTGATAATCACAACTCTCCAGTATAAAAACATTAAATGAAAAAAGGCACACAACAGTGCATATGGAATCTGTATGTTTGTGTAAGAACAGGGAAAGAAAATATTACATACTCATATTTTCTTACATCTGCATAAAGAATACTACAAGGATATATAAGAAACTCATATAGGAGGTCATCTAGAGGAGCTGTAGACAATAGGATAGCTAGGACAGGAAAGGAAGCAAAACTTCTCAATACCTTTTATATATTTTGATTTCCCAACTATGTGAATGGATAAACAATTCAAAAATAAAATATATAATAATTTATTCTTTGCAGATGATATGATACTTTATGTGGAAAACCCAAAAGACTCCCATCTCAAAACTGCTAGAATTCATACAGGAATTCAGTAAAATGGCAGGATATAAAATCAATGCACACAAATCAGTGGCATTTCTATACACCAACAAGACAGAAGAAAGAGAAATTAAGGAGTTGATCCCATGTACAATTGCACCCAAAACCATAAGATACCTAGGGATAAATCTAACCAAAGAGGCAAAGGATCTGTACTCAGAAAACTATAAAATACTCACGAAAGAAATTGAGGAAGACACAAAGAAATGGAAAAACGTTCCATGCTCATGGATTGGAAGAATATTGTGAAGATGTCAATGCTACCTAGAGCAATCTACACATTCAATGCAATCCCTATCAAAATACCATCCACTTTTTTCAAAGAAATGGAACAAATAATCCTAAAATTTATATGGAACCAGAAAAGACTCTGTATAGCCAGAGGAATGTTGAAAAAGAAAAGCAAAGCTGGTGGCATCACAATTCTGGACTTCAAGCTATATTACAAAGCTGTCATCATCAAGACAGTATGGTACTGGCACAAAAACAGAGACACAGATCAATGGGACAGAATAGAGAGCCCAGAAATGGACCCTCAACTCTATGGTAAACTAATCTTTGACAAAGCAGGAAAAAACATGCAATGGAAAAAAGACAGTCTCTTCAATAAGTGGTGCTGGGAAAATTGGACAGCCACATGCAGAAGAATGAAACTGGACCATTTCCTTACACCACACACAAAAATAGACTCAAAATGGATGAAAGACCTCAATGTGAGACAGGAGTCCATCAAAATCCTAGAGGAGAACACAGGCAGCAACCTCTTCAACCTCAGCCACAGCAACTTCTACTTAGAAACATTGCCAAAGGCAAGGGAAGCAAGGGCAAAAATGAACTATTGGGACTTCATCAAGATAAAAAGCTTTTGCACAGCAAAGGAAATAGTCAACAAAACCAAAAGATAACCGACAGAATGGGACAAGATATTTGCAAATGACATATCAGATAAAGGGCTAGTATCCAAAATCTATAAAGAACTTATCAAACTCAACACTGAAAGAACAAATGATCTAATCAAGAAATGGGCAGAAGACATGAACAGACATTTTTCCTAAGAAGACATCCAAATCTCCAACAGACACATGAAAAAGTGCTCAACATTGCTTGGCATCAGGGAAATCCAAATCAAAACCTCAATGAGATATTACCTCACACCAGTCAGAATGGCTAAAATTAACAAGTCAGGAAACGACAGATGTTGGCGAGGATGCGGAGAAAGGGGAATACTCCTACACTGTTGGTGGGAATGCAAGCTGGTGCAGCCACTCTGGAAAACAGTATGGAGGTTCTTCAAAAAGTTGAAAATAGAGCTACCAGATGACCCAGCAATTGCACTACTGGGTATTTACCCCAAAGGTACAAATGTAGTGATCCGAAGGGGTACGTGCACCCCAATGTTTATAGCAGCAATGTCCACAATAGCCAAACTATGGAAAGAGCCAAGATGTCCATCAACAGATGAATGGATAAAGAAGATGTGGTATATATATATACAATGGAATATTATGCAGCCATAAAAACAAAAACAAAAACAAAAACGAAATCTTGCCATTTGCAACAATGTGGATGGAACTAGAGGGTATTATGCTAAGCGAAATAAGTCAATCAGAGAAAGACATGTATCGTATGATCTCACTGATATGAGGAATTCTTAATCTCAGGAAACAAACTGAGGGTTGCTGGAGTGGTGGGGGTGGGAGGGATGGGGTGGCTGGGTGACAGACATTGGGGAGGGTATGTGCTATGGTGAGTGCTGTGAATTGTGTAAGACTGATGAATCACAGAGCTCTACCTCTGAAACAAATAATACATTATATGTTAAACAACAACAACAAAAAGAAGATAGCAGGAAGGTAAAAATGAAGGGGGGGAATCGGAGGGGAAGACAAACCATGAGAGACTATGGACTCTGAGAAACAAACTGAGAGTTCTAGAGGGGAGGGGAGTGGGGGGATGGGTTAGCCTGGTGATAGGTATTAAAGAGGGCACATATTGAATGGAGCACTGGATGATATATGCAAACAATGAATCATGGAACACTACATCAAAAACTAATGATGTAATATATAGTGATTAGCATAGCAATAAAAAAATAAATTAATTAAAAATATATATATATAATAATTTAAAACAAATGACCAGAACTTTTGTGGCCTTCTTGCCATAAATAAGAAAAAACGGGCAGAATACATGAAATAAGTGTTTTCAGATGTCAGAATAGACAGTGCAGGACTACAATCTCTTAAGAAGCTGGGAGGAGAGAGGCGATGAGGTGAGCCATGCAACTGTCTCAGGTTTCTGAAAGGAGGAATTTACCAGAATGCATTGCAGGGAAGGAGAGATGAAACAAGCACTATGATCTGAGCTGAGGAAGCAGAGACTAGTTTGTGCCTACTGAGGAGGCTCTAGAATTTGTGGAAATTTGGAGAAAAAAGGAGCTGCAGATAAAAGGAGCACCACAAATATGCACAGCAATCCCTTTGGATTTTTGACCCAATACTAAAGGAGCAAGAAAGTTCAGGGAACCAAGCAAAGAATCAATACTAAAGAAATAACTATTACCAAAGAAACAGCCACCATCGCACAGCTGTCAGCAGAACAACTACTTGAGCAACAACCTCTTGAATGTTGAGAGATGTTCGAGCCGTGACCAGATCGAGTGGACAAACCCTGTTAATACCTTGAGCACCAAGTAGAGACCCCAGCAAAGCCACACCTTACAACCAGGGCTAATCTAGCCCTAGAATAAAGGCCACTCTAAACATTTGCTAACAAAGCTTTAAAAGTCACAAAATGGGGCGCCTTGGTGGCTCAGTTGGTTAAGCGACTGCCTTCAGCTCAGGTCATGATCCTGGAGTCCCTGGATCGAGTCCCGCATTGGGCTCCCTGCTCGGCAGGGAGTCTGCTTTGCCCTCTGACCCTATCCCCTCTCATGTGTTCTCTCTCATTCTCTCTCTCTCAAATAAATAAATAAAATCTTTAAAAAAAATAAAAAATAAAATAAAATAAAATAAAAGTCACAAAATGATCAACTGAATGTGAAAGTAAATTAATTGTCTGCCAGAAGAAAATGTTATTAATGAAGACTACAAAATCCCAAGAGTCAATAATGTAGCAACCATAATGTCCAGTACACAATAAAAAAAAATACTACACATATGAAGAACCAGGAAAATGTAACTCTGACCAGGAGAATATTTAGTCAATAGAAAAATGACCCCAAAATTAGAGATGATGGAATTTTAAATAGCTACCATAGATAATGTTCAGGAATTTAAAGAAACATACATACAATGATGTAATAAGTAGTGAATTGCAATAAGGTAATAAAAACTAGACGAAAAAAATCAAATGAAAATTCTAGAGCTAAAAATACAATATTTGAAATGTAAAATTCACTAGAAGGATGTGCTAGCAATTAGACACTGTAGAAGAGAAATCCAAGAACATTAAGCAGTCAATAGAAAATATATATTGTAGCACAGAATAAATACAAACAGACAGGGAGGGGGAATAAAAAAGAAAAAAGTTTCAGTGACCTGTGGGGCAGTATCAAGTGGTTTTACATATGTATATTTGGAGCAATAGGAAGAAAGGAGGGAGGAGAGAGAAATGAACAAAAAATATTACAAGTGGGACATCTGGGTGGCTCAGTCGTTTAAGCGTCTGACTCTTGGTTTCAGCTCCAGTCATGATCTCATCGGTCATGGGATCAAGTCCTGTGTGAGGGCTCTGCCCTCCGCAGGGGAGTCTGCTTGAAGATTCTCCCTCTGCCACTCCCCTCCCCCACACTTGCACATGCATGCTCTTTCTCTCTCTCTCTAAAATAAATATTTTAAAAAATATTACAAGAAATAATGGTTGAAAATGTTTCAATGGTTGAAATGTTACTAAAAAACATAAGCACATAGATTTAAGAAAAAAAAAAACTAAACCAACTCAGGATATTCTACAAAATCAAAAGTCTCAGAAGCAAAGCATGAAAAACTACCCAAAGACTCTCAACCAAATCAAATTGCTAAAACTGAGTAACAAAAGTTAAAAAGCATCCAGGGAAAAGTTAATTACATTATGCTTACAGGAGGAGCAAGAAAAATGATGGTGTACTTCTCATCAGAAATAATACAAACCAGAAGCTGATGGAGATATTTATTTTTTTATTATGTTATGTTAATCACCATACAGTACATCATTAGTTTTTGATGTAGTGTTCAAAGATTCATTGTTAGTGTTGAAAGAGAAGGACTGTAAACCTAGAAATCTATGTCACATAAAATGATCTTTCAAAAGTGAGGATAAAATAAAGAAATCTAGAGACATGGGAATGCTGGGCTCAATCACTGTCAGTAGAACTGCATTACAAGAAACCTTAAAGGAACCTTAAGTGTGAACAGAGATAGTTCACACTTAAACTCTTCAAACCTTGAAGTACTTCCTTCAAGATTCCTCGAATTACTCCAAGAAATGAAAAGTGCCAGAAATGGTAAAAAGTGGACAGGTAGAAAAGACACTTTTTTATTTCTTGATTTCTTTGAAAGATAATAGACTTTAAAGCAAAAATAATAACTATATGGTAGAGTTTATAAATCATAGAAATGAAATCTATTATAAAAGAGGTAAAATGGAAAAAAACTTTACAGATGAAGTGGTGTAAGATTATTTGAAGATAGTCTGTGATGGGATACATATATACATATTGTACACTCTAAAATATAGTTAATAAGACAATAGAGGAAATAAAAAATAAAAAATAGTCATTTAAAGCTTTAAAAAATAAAGAACAGATAGAATAAATAAAACACAAATAACAAGACAGTAGAGTTAAACCAACCGTATGCCAATAAATACTTTAGATGTAAATGGACTAAACACGACATTTAAGTGACAGAAATTTTCAGATTTAATCCATATATGTTTAATTTAAATGAAATTTAAAAAAATAAAAACAGTATAAAATATTGTCATGTTAAACACAATTTTATTGTTAGGTAAGAATAAATTGATGGATGAACAGATAAACAAAATAAAGTATATACATATAATATTCAGCCTTAAAAAGAATGGAAATTCTGACATATACTACAACATGGATGAAACCTGAAGACATGACGCTAAGTGAAATAAGCCAGACACAGAAAGACAAATACTGTATAATCCACTTATATGAGATACATCAAGTAGTCAAATTCAGAGACAGAAAGTGGAATGGTGGCTGCCAGGGACTGGGGACTGACGGGGGGAGAGTTACTGTTCAATAGATAGAGAGTTTCAGTTGTGGAAGATGAAGAAGTTCTGGGGATGGATGGTGGTGATGGTTGTACAATCTACCATGATGGGTACTTAATACCAGAAAACTGAACACTTAAAAATGGTTACAATGATATAGTGCTGATAGTTCACACTTAAAAAGCAAAATGGAAAATTACCAACCAGGTGACACTGTCACATAGACCTAAAGTCCCCCTTAGAATATTTTCTGACAGAATTAAAATCAATTCAGATGGTTAACTGCACTCAGCCAGACCTGCTAAGGGGGCAGAAGATAAAGGAGCAAATGTGTATACATATAGCAGGGATGATTTGGAAGTTAGATTCTGACTTCCAAATGTCTCATGACTAGAGCTTATAGTGTTCAACCTTTCATGAAAGGCCTGTGACCAGAGTACTAAGAAGAGGTCAGGCAGGAGGAGGGCAGCCTTGGAGGTTACCCCTGCAATAGGAAATAGCGGTGCGGGGAAGAGAGAAGCAAAAGAGCAAAGCAAGTCAGGGAGACAAAACATGATTTCAGCAGACTGCTGCTGAATAGCATACACCACAGAGTTTTCCACAGAGCAGATCATAAAGACAATGATGACTGACAACCTGGCAACATAAAGGGGAAAAACAGCCCACACCGAAGAGAGGAAAGATGGAGGGACCAATGCATACTTCTGAGTCTTATTCATAATGCAGGCTTTACCAGTGCTTTGAAAACCATTCCCAGAGCAATGAGAAGCTCAAGAACCATCAGCCACCTTACCTGGGAAAGGCACAAAGGCATGTCGCATGCTGACTGAAAATGGCATTCCTCTGTCTGAGGCTCTCTCCTCCATCTGTGCTTGGTGTCCAGGGTTCAGGCCACAGCTCTTCTTACCTCTTCCTCTGTCAGGCAAACAACATCAGCAGCTGGACATGAAACAGTCTCAAATATATGAAAAAGGTCTCATTTTTCAGTAAAGTCAATAGTTCCATCTAGGAAACTTAAGAACCTTTTCATTTGAAACTCACTTTAAAACTTAACAAAGATACTAGATTTTCTTTTTTAGCAAACATTCAGTTAAACACGAAGTAAGGCATTTCTGTAACAGCTTCTGCCACAAACTACTTCTGAAACAATTACAGACATTTAGCTCAAATCAACAAATCTTTTTGACCATATCTAATATAAATTATCTATGCTTTTTCTTCCCATAATGTGTATTTGGGGAAGACAGAAGGGGGGAGATGTTCCTGACATAGTTAAACTCTTCCTTTTTGCATTTGAGTTCGAAAAGCACATCGTGCTGATTGATTTAATTAGTGGCCCAGGTTTTCAGTCTTTCACCATCAACAAGCTTCTTTATAGACAGACTCAGGATTTTAAATGGATAGCATGTATGCCCAGAACAGAAAATGAAACTAACTTCATTACTTTATCCAATAGGCTGGTTTTGAGCCATTCATACTCATAAAAGTGTATTAACACAAATACAGAGAAATAGCCTCTACCTGCTCATGGGAAGTAGGCGTTTGCCTAGGGCTTGGGAAGGTGGGCTCTCCCCTACTAGTGTTGGCATTTTGATCTCAAAATCTCTTGGCACATTCTGAATATTTGGTTCTGTAAAGGTTATTCGTCCTAAAATCAAACAGAATGAAGACAGAAAATTGAGGGGGTTAGGGGGGATCTGACATTTATTTTCACAGTAATTGCATTTCTGAATTATGCATTTTCTACTATTGCTAAACTAAATTTATATTTAAATATTTTTCATTATGTTCATGCATCTAACAATGATAAAATAAGTACAAGACCAATCCTAATGTAAGTGAATATATGAGTCAACTGCAATAGAATGTTTTACATTAACCTAGCTCTCTAGAAAACAAGCCCATGATAAGAAGGAATTTGATAAGCTGAACTCGTCCTGTGCTAAAATGAATACCAGATATCAGCACTATATGAATGTTAGCAGTGGTATTAATGAGTAAAGACTAATCAAATGGATCCTAGGAGAAATGACTGTCAAAACCTTCAAACCCAGGAATGCACAAGACACAGAGAGAGGATCTGAAGCAGAAGAGCAACTGACTGCTGAAAAGGGACAACCGGGGCCCAAGGAGCCAGCTAATCTGTAGGAGATGGAGTAGTGAGACGTGGTGACTGGAACATCACTCACTAGACATCACCTGGCTGCTTTTCTGCATCACCATCCTCACTCATCAAGAGAACCAATGGTAGCACCGACAAAGCTGGAGACTAGAATCAGGATGTTAATGAACTTTCTAGGAAAGAGAAAGCTATTTAATGCTTATAACTTTTATTTCCCCCAAATATTTTGCAGTTTATTTGTTTACTTATTGGTTGAATTTTTCTGAAACACATAAGCATTATTCAAAAAAAGTCTGGGTCGTTGATGTTGTTATTGCAGTTTTTACATATATACATATATGTACATATATACATATATAGTTTTATAAAATCTTGTTTTATAATATACTCTTCATTGTCATGGGCTCTCTACCAGCTAGTATATATAATTTCGTCTTCTTTTGATGAGTCAGACATTTTAAGTACTTCAGATATTCTTTTTCTGAACAAACCCCTGATATATGTCCTTGTTATTTAGCTTTTAAGAAAAATTAGTGCTCAATGAATGGCAGATATCAATATACTTATTACCATCACCATTAATATACTTATTACCATTAAATGGCCTGCTCAATGTTAAAAAACTAGCCAACAGCAGGAGTCCAAGGGGCGCCTGGGTGGCTCAGTTGGTTAAGCGACTGCCTTCGGCTCAGGTCATGATCCTGGAGTCCCAGGATCGAGTCCCGCATCGGGCTCTCTGCTCGGCAGGGAGCCTGCTTCTCCCTCTGACCTTCCCCCCTCTCATGTGCTGTCTCTCTCATTCTCTCTCTCAAATAAATAAATAAAATCTTTAAAAAAAAAAAAAAGAAGGAGTCCAAGTCTCTTGCTGCCTCAGCATACTATCTTCTTTTCGATAATAATATTTAATATTCAGGTCTACTGTTTGAATTAATGAGGCTAACACTGGCAGACAAACAAGATGGCAAAAATAGATTATAAAACATGAATGTAGCTTCATGGAGGTGAATTCTAATAATGAAATGGCTTTGCTATGCTTAGGTAAGTTTGTATTTCTAAAATACTCTTTAAATGTAGGCATAGTATGGTGAAAACCAATCGACAAAAAAGGAATTGATTACTTTCTATTTTATAAGCAACAGATAAATGCAACACCTTTAGAAACTCTACGCTGATTTTGGTTTTGCACCAACAAGGATTTATTTTACGTAAGTTTACATCATTAGCATATGTCTCAAAATGAAATTTAAACACCAACAGGGCAAGAAATGGCTAGGGTGAACTAAGAGGTTAGCTAAATACAGAAGAAGGAAAAGAATTTGTTTAGAACAGGGAATAAACGTGCACAGAAAAAAGGCAGCTCATCCTGGTGCCTCCGTCTGTAAAAACAGCAACAACCGGTAAGGAGCTTGCACAAAGTGCCCTGCACTATTCTAAACACTTTAAATGTATTAGCCTATTTAATCCTCAGCATGCCCTGGTGAAGTAAGACTATTATTACTGTGTTTTACACATGAGGACACTCAGGCACAAAGCTACCTTGAATAAAGATTTAAACCCGTAAAAGTCAGATAGCAAAGCCCACATTCTATACCACCAACCTAAACTGTCTCCCCGATGAGATTTAATGCTGCCCTTTCTTCCAATGCACATTGCATTTCGCAGATATTTAGTTTTGCACTGCCTAGCACAAGAATGATTTTTTCCTTTCTAGATTACTCATACCTATCCCAAAATTGCTACAAGACACCCAAAGGACTCTACAGCTCTTTTCTGGTTAAATAAAATAAGACACTCATCTGTTATACAGATGCCCCCCAGCATTACCTAGATTCATCTTGGGGAGAATCTTAAGAGGTTTGGGAGAGGGCTAGGACTGAAATTAGATAAAATGACTGATTCATATATTAATCTAAAGTACAGTCTCAGACATTCCAGTTACTCTATATAGTACTTGAAAGCTGGAACTCTATCTTACTAAATCTCATCTCTGTAACTAGTATCCATCTATATTTTGGATGTAGTATGTGTTTTATAAATGCTTATGAAACTTCACAGAATCCAATGATTAACACTTGAATTCCTTGGTCACCTTGAGCAAATATTATATATGAAAAGTTTTCTTTCAAAATTGGATATTATTCATATTTAAGATTTCTCATTACCTGTAGCAGTGTGTGATTGTGATACAGGATAGATTCTTTCCATTCCAAGAAAAGGATTCAGACGCTTTTCCCGCTGCAGAGGAAAGACCACTTTGGTAATAGCATTAGTGATTCTTCTCCACTCTAATATCAAGCCTGGTAAAGGATGCAATGCCCTTAATTTATTTAAAACATCCTGCCAAAGAAATATAATGAAGTAAGATCAGATTCCATAGCAAACTAGGCTCTCTTTTAGGTAAATAATATAATCTCAAAATTAAATTTGATAACTCCTATATCTACAACTCAAAATTACTGTTTGGGTTTTTGGCAATCACCATAGTGATAAAACTATGATAACTATAGATGGTAAAATGCAAACATGCTAATGCTGAGTAATATCAATTTAGATCTACCTTAAAACAAATCAGCGTCAATTTAGCAAGGTACTATAACTGCCTTCCTTCACCCCACCCAAGAATCTGTATCATGTCTTTCCTTTGTCTATATTTTCCTCCTCTATTCTCATGTGATTGTAAGTTTCTCATGGTTTTTTTTCCTTTTGCCCTAATACTTTAATCATTTCCATATCAAGAAATGCAGAAGACATTAATCTTTAAAACTTTGAACTTTCCATGCTACAGAATTTTGGTAAACTGCTAAGAAATAGGAACTTGTGAAGTTAGAGGGCCCGTGAGATAAAACAAAAAGTTTTGTTACAGAATGAAACTGTGGAAACTTCCCTAGAGCAGGCAAGTCATAGTTAAGGATAGTAGGGTCAAAATTCTACAGAATGGCAACTTGGATTCTCTTTCCATGGCTATTATGGTGGTATTTTCTACCCTTATTATTCCACTGAAAATTCATTCAGTAAAAATGTAACAATAAGCCTTTTCTCTCTTCTCTCCCAAACATACAGTTCCCATGGATTGTAATTTGCAATTTTACTTTGAAATTAGTAGATTAGATTCTTAAACTCATGGAGAACTTACTATTTTGCTCTATAATTGAAAAAAATGTTTTATTTGTAATGGCTGGGTGTTTTCCTTTTTTAATTCTTCCACACCTTTATCCATGCTCCTATACTATACAAATTATATTATACTTGAAGTCCAAGAGTAGCGGATGTCAGTAATTAAATAATGTCTATAGGTCTGAGTTCATAAACCATTATACTGTTTTAATAATAGGAAGGACACAACTGCTAGATTAGATTTTGGTCCAGATTTTCCATGATGGAATGTCTCCGCAGTTTTGGCAGGGAGCCGAACCACAAACCAATTTGTTTTTATCTGGACACATTCAAATGGTGAGCTATGCTGGATCTTGACTTCATCAGCATTCTTTCAAGACACCAAAATGCTAAAAGTAATTCAAATTCTGCCCTGTAACTGTCACAAAGAGTACCTTACTAGTGCTGTACTGTTTTCCCAGCTTTAGCTTGCGTCCATTGTCATTCCCTCTTCTGGTAGAACCCAAAGTTTTCTTGCTGCTTTGGTTTTTTATTTCTCCATTTGGTGGTAACTTCAATTCCAAAAATAAAACCTGCAATAAATTAATGCTTCTTTAGTCAAGAATCAAATCACAAGCATTGTCATTCACAAAACATTTTTAAGTTATTTGAGAAAATCCACACAATTCAACATGGGTTGGCAGAATTTTTTATAACATATTGAACTATCACATTTAATAAATAATGACAATGAAAATTTGCATGTCAAGTAGGCTATCTATACCCTAATTTAGGCACTATAAGATTAATTCCAATAATGGGCTTTTTAACAGTCAGGAACACAGGAATGTATACTCTGTGTGCTGAACAAGTGATAAATAAGCTATTGACATTGAGACTTTAGGTTGCTCTGAGGACTGTGAACTCTCCTAAATACCCCTTGATATGGTAACCGACATGGCTGCTCAATCATTTAAGTCTCAGCAAGGGTCAACACGGGAGCCTTTGTGGCTATTATATGATCACAAAAATCAAAGAACACTGAAGTAGAAAGGGATCCAAAAAGCCTTCTACTTCCACCACCATAAGGCTAGGCCCTGTGAGAACCTGGACACAAAAAGTCAGAAAAATATGGCCAACCCAATGTAGCAATCAATAATGACAGCTAGAGTAGCCAATAAGTACCTACTGAAGAAATTAAGCCTATACAGGACAGGAATCCATGTTCTGGGACAGAAGGAATAGCCTATGTATACCTAACCTATACACCAGCTCAATTTATAGGTTTTAAAACTCAGGCAATTCAGAATACTATTTACTACCTCCATTCATTCATTCGTATACATTGAGTGGGCTTTAGTGAACTTTGGATTATTTTCCCACTAATAATCCTAAAAATTAAGATCATTTGCATTCTATTAAGAATCTTTATTGGCCACAAGTTGGGCAAGGGGTAGAAGGAAAGATATGCCTGTGCTTCTGTAGAATAGCAGTGATGATAGAAACAAAGATCTGGTTCTAATTTTACATAGTGGGAATAACTGGAGTCTTAGGTATGAAAGATACTGAGGCTTGCTGTGGATGTTAGTAACAATTTTTCCCAAGAATTGTGTTATATAGGGTTGCATGTGTAGGGATCAGGATTATCATATATAATAAATAAAATTATAAGATGCTTAGTTAAATTTGAACTGCACAGGGCATACTTATATTAAAATATTGTTCATTGTTTATCTGAAATTCAAATTTAGCTGAATGTCCTGTATTTTATCAGGTAACTCTAGTACAGACATATTCATACAGATATATGAATGGCAGGATAGGAAAAACAATCAAATAACTGAATAGGAAAATGAAACATTTTTTTTTAAAGATTTTATTTATTTATCTGAGACAGAGAGAATGAGAGAGAGAGAGAGCACATGAGAGGGGTGAGGGTCAGAGGGAGAAGCAGGCTCCCTGCCGAGCAGGGAGCCCGATGCGGGACTCAATCCCGGGACTCCAGGATCATAACCTGAGCCGAAGGCAGTCGCTTAACCAACTGAGCCACCCAGGCGCCCATGAAACATTATTTTTAAAGTAATAATAAATCAACAATCCCAGGAAGAGAGACCTATCATAATTAGGACAACTCAAAGATCTCAAGTTACATATTTATAAGCTCTTTATCTTAGATTTGTTTTTGGTGAAAACTTCAGAATTAATTGTGAAAACTTCATATAAATTACCTCTCCAGGTTTAAATGAATACATCTGTGAAATGAGGGGGTTGAACTGGATGAGGGCAAGTGCCTCTTGCCCTCCTCAATAAATATTGAGCACTTACTGTGTGTCAGCCATCACATGCTGGGCGCTTTAACATATGTCATCTCATGTCATATGTACAATTCTGTGACACTTCTGAAGTTTACACCAGTTGGAGAAACTTGCTTAAAGTTACATGGCCATAACGTAGAAAAATTAAGAATTAGAACCCATAGTCCTCTAACTCAAAGTCCTTTTTTTTTTTTCTCTAATTCATGCTTCCCTCTAGACCAGGGATCAGCAAACTTTTCCCAAAAAGGGCCAGATAACAGATATTTTCAGCTTTGCAGGTTTTACTGTCTGTCACAACTTCTCAACTGTGCCATTATAGACCAAAAAGAGACACAGACAATAAGTAAGTGAACAGGTGTGGCTATGCTCCAATGAAATTTTATTTACAAAAACAGGTGGCAGGCCAGATCTGGCCCACAAGCTATAGTTTGCCGATCCCCACTCTAGCCCAGTGCCATCCAAAAGAACTTTTTGCAATAATGAAAGTGTTCTATATTTGCACTCCCCTTTATGGTAGCCACTTACCACATGTGGCTATTGAACATTTAAAATGTGGCTAACACAACTAAGGAACTGAATTGATATATTTTAATTAATTTTAATTAAGTTAAATTTATTTATTTTTTAAAGATTTTATTTATTTATTTTGTCAGAGACAGCACAAGCAGGGCGAGCAGCAGGGACAGAGGGAAAAGCAGACTCCCTGCTGAGCTAGGAGCCTGATGCAGGCTCAATCCCAGGACTCTGGGATCATGACCTGAATCAGAGGCAGAGGCTTAACCGCCACCCAGGTGTCCCAGTTAATTTAAATTTAAATAGCCACAAGTGGCTAGTGGCTCCTGTATTGGATGGCGCAGCTCTAGATGATTAGTAATATCCTGCCCAGTTCAAAGATTCCACTTAAAATCACCAAGGATTAACTAGTCAATGTGTGAAACTGTTAGATTACCTTAAATATAACTTCCATTTTAAAATGAAGACCTAAGAACAAGCCATTAACATCAAAGGCCTTTTATTCTGGCCTAGAATTTGGTCTAGGCCTATGGCCTTAGTATCTGAATCACAAGGGCATGGATTCCTGCCTATACCCCAAGCCTACTTGTGCTGAAATCCAGGGATGCTCTGTTTTTCATAAGGTCCCTCTGTAATTTTATGTGCAGTCAGTTGGGTATTGGTTGGGGAGTTCGGAGCTAAAGAACTCAAAGGAAAATATTAAACAAAACAAAACAAAACAAAAAATGGCCCTACTGAATTCAATACACATGTACCCTGTGATTTGGAGAAACAAAATTCCTCATTTTTTTTTAAAGATTTTATTTATTTATTTGAGAGAGAGAGGATGAGAGACAGAGAGCACGAGAGGGAAGAGGGTCAGAGGGAGAAGCAGACCCCCCGCCAAGCAGGGAGCCCGATGTGGGACTCGATCCCGGGACTCCAGGATCACGACCTGAGCCGAAGGCAGTCGCTTAACCAACTGAGCCACCCAGGCGCCCCTCATATTTTTAAAACATATAACCCTGTGGCTTAAAAAAGGGGCATTTTTTATGAGTATATGTAACCTTTATTGAGCTTTTACTATGAGATGGGCACTATTCTAAGTGTTTTACATTCATCATTTATTCCTCACAACAACTCTATGAGGTATTTCTATCATAACCCACTTTACTGATGTAGAAATTGAGATACAAAGAGTTGATGTATTGTCCCAAGGTTACAGGGTTAATAAGTGGAGGAGATAGGATTCAAACCCAGGAAGTCTGGCTTGAAAGCCTATGATCTTCACAACATGCTACATTACTGAACTGCATCTACAAGACACCTGAACTTCAATGTTATCAAGTATAAGTACCCACCCTGAATCTGTAACCCTCCTACAACAACCCAACCACCCTTTGTGGAGTGTGGGGAGAGGAAAGAATAGAATGCCAACATTTGAAATAAAAATAAGAGTAAAGTGTGCCAAATTTATGTTAAGTTTATAAAAATCTTATTTAGGTTTAAAAAAGCAAACAATCCCAAAAATTCCGTTTTCATTAACAACTGAGAAAAATATCTAATTTTATTCTCCAAAAAAGGATTTTGGGGTAAGGAAGGGGTGAGAGTTCATGAAATTACTAACTTCATGGAGAAACAACTACACTGTTATATAACCACCACTATGGATCTTTTGTTTAACAAACATTCACTGAGTACCTCCACTGTCCTAGGCAAATCTCATGGAGCATACATTCTAGGAGGCTTCTTTACCACCTTCCTATTTCATAAACACAGATATAACTTATAAATTAGGAGCTAGAATACTCTATCTCCAAAGTACTCTGATAACTAAAATTTTTTTAACTGATCTTTGGTGGTTAGGCAAACACATTTAGGAAATACACACACATACACACACACAAAAATAATTTTTAACTCTCAAATTCCCCATTCCCATGATACAACCTCAGCGATGTCATCTGAACTGGTGAAGGAAAAACTGTGTCCTGCTAGTTGATAGGCCTGGATCTCGATTGCATCCAGCTTGGCTTGCATTATGTGTTTCTGACTTTCACATTCTGCAGTACTAAAGCCAATTCCATTTAGCTCTAGCAAGGCCAAGCAATACTGAGAGGGCATTTCCACTTTACAGAAAACATCTGGAAGAAAAAAAGAAAACTAAAACATTAATTCACCAGTTAAGTGACTAGATTAGCATCATCACCTAAACACACATGGAATTTTTCTAAGCAAATTCAGAGATGCTATCCAAGCTATTCTTCAAGATCCAGTCTCCTGAGCAGCACTCTCAGGCCAACAAGGAAAGGCATAAAAGTACTTCCTACTTTTCTACTTCAGCACTAGACTACTACCCTTGTCTACATCGAGAGCAGAAAAACTGGCAATCTTGTGAATGGTCTGGATTACAAGAGGCTGCATTTCTCCCAAGATAATGTTTCAGCTTCTACTCTTGGCAAGAGCAAGAGAGCCAATCTTATTTGCTAAACTGACTATAATGAGTTAATCTCCTGAAATTATTTCCAATATTCCTGGTTCCATGATATGCATGCTTGCACAAAGAACTAAAAATGGAGGTTTCTTATTTTCTAGTGCTCTTACCAAAGAATAAAGAAAAAGATTCCTGAAGTAAGAATCAGAGTATTTTTCTATCTGCTGACACTTCTCAACAGAGTAGTCATCTGTATCAGTTTTTCCAGTACGGTCTTTGAAATATTAGTCTCAAAGATACTCTATGAAAAGGGTGGAGCTGAGAGACACTGCACTGTGAGTTCCAGTGTTTACATACTGCTTTTGGATATTCATGATGCCTGTTAATTTAGTAAAGGCTCTGAGAAGACCTGAAGCAACGATGACTATTTAACTGAAAATCTGAAATTATTTGACCACAAAACCATTTATTTTATGTAACACTTATTAACATCCTGAAAAGTACATGTCCATAGAATGCACTTTGGGAAATCTATCCTAAATCATTAAGAAAAGATCCATACCAAAGACTTCAGCTTCCAGTACTATGGATCACAAGGACTCTGAGCAACCCTGGCCTGCCCTCCCCAGCTCCACACACATACATTCTTTGAGGCATTGCTGGTCTCAACCAGCAGGAGAAATGTCCAGGGACACCCACAACCCCCACCAAAAGCAAATAAACAAGTGAGAGCTACTGGCCTCTAATAGGAGGAATTAACAGACAGTCAGAGCCTGGCTTTAAAGACCTGGACCCAGAGCAGAAATTCATGGGATGTGGAACCAGAGAAATCAGGAACTAGGGTCAGAACAAGAACAGTAAAGCGGCACAAAGTCAGAGTGACAGGGAGCAAGCCTGTATCCATAGGCAGTAGGAAGGAGCAGTACTGTCATAGGAATGAAATCCTACAGCCAAAAGGTTGAGGGGATATAGAACTTCAGAATAGCAACAGGAAGAGAAGCTAATTCTCAGACTTCTGTTCTGAACCAACACTCAAGGGAGGTTAGTGTGGTCCTTGGATGTGGTGTACTATGGTAAGGAGCAAAACCTTTCTTGAGGAAGGCTTTCCCCAAGTTAGGCCTGCAGGGCTCCACTGATCAAATCCTACATGAACTCACAAAGAATATGAAACATACAAGATAGCAAAGAAATACAAGTAATATACAGCAGAAACAACAAATGGCAGATTTAGACCCATAAGAATCGCAGATATAGATTCATTAGAACAGAATACAGAGCACAGTTATGAGTAAACTATTTACAAAATACAAAAGATGAATAGAAACAAAGTAAAACTGATGAACCATGAGAGACGATGGACTCTGAAAAACAAACTGAGGGTTCTAGAGGGGAGGCAGGTGGGAGGATGGGTTAGCCTGGTGATGGGTATTAAAGAGGGCACGTTCTGCATGGAGCACTGGGTGTTATGCACAAACAATGAATCATGGAACACTACATCAAAAACTAATGATGTAATATATGGCGATTAACATAACAATAAAAAATTTAAAAAAGAAACAAAGTAAAACAGTAGGAAAATATACAAATATATCAATAATCACAATAAATTGGTAAAATTGTAAAAAAAATTGCTAAGTTTGAAAAATAAATGAATAAGCTATGCTTTGTTTATAACACACATCTAAATCATAAGGACCAAGAAAGGTTAAAAGGGATAGAAGAAAATATTAGGCAAATATTAAAAGAAAGTTGATGCTGCCATATCAATTCCAGAAGATAGACTAAGATTAAAAGTCGTATTAGTGCTAGAGCTGCTCATAATATAATGATAGGTTTAATTCATCAGGAAGATAAATCAATTTTAAACAGGTATGCATCTAATAAAATGGTCTCAAAATATATAGTTAAAATATAGTTAAAATTGAACTACAGTGAGAATTAGATACAAAAGTTTTAAACAATAACCTTGACTTAATAGACATTTATAAAATTCTGCATCCAGAACTAGAATACACATTCTCTTATATATACATAGAACATTTACACATAGTTCAGGATTTAGGTTGCAAAGCAACTCCAAAAATTTCAAAGAATGGGTATTACATAATCATGTTTTTTTAAACACAATACAAATAAGTTTGACTATTAAAAATTACAAAATAAAACATTTCCAAATATTTGGAAATTGAAAAACAACCTTCTAAATAACTTATATGTCAAAAATGTCAAAACAGAAAATGTCAATAAATATTTAAGATATAATGAAAACATTACATGTAAAATTTTTAAGATATAATGCAAGGAGAGCTTTGAGGGAAATTTATAGCTTTTAATACCTCAATTAGAAAAGAAAAAAATGATTTGAAAACTAATGAGTTTAGTGTCATATTTATGAATTTAGAAAAAGTGCTACAAAATAAAGTCAGGAGAACTAAAAATCAAAGGCAAAAATTGGTTTTTTGAAAAGACTGAAAAATTGGATAAACTTCTATTAAGATTAAAGAATAAATATGGTGAAAGAAAAAGACAACATAACAGATAAACCACAGATGCATTAAAAAATTAGCAATAGCTTAATGACAATAAATTTGAAAATCTAGATGAAAGAGGTAATTCTTAAAAATATAGTTTATTATAACAAAAATATATAATAACAATAATATAATAAAAACATAGTTCACCAAAACATAATTAAAGATAAAATTGAATAATCTTACAACTGTAAGAAATCAAAGTAATAGTTAAAAATATTTCCACAAAGACAGTTTATAGGCAAACTCTACCAAAATTTCAAGGAACACATCATTTCTATGATACACAAACTCCTCCAAAGAAAAAAAAAGGTTATATTTATCAACTCATTCAATGAAACTAGAATAACTTTGTTACCAAAAACAAAGCACAAGAAAGAAAAATTACAGCCATTTTATAACCGATGAATTGGCAAAGTTGAGACAATATGAATCACCAAGATTTCTTTCACATCGCTGTTTAGAGAGTAAATATATACACCATTTTGGAAAACAATTTAGCATAATCTTATAAAGTTGAATATTTCCATTCTCATGACAGAGTAATTCCAAACTCAAAAGAAATTCTCACCCATATGTACCAGGAAACATGTACATGTGTAAGAATATGTATACAGAACTACTTGCTATAGCAAAACAAAAAATAAAACAAAATAAAACAAAAATAGAAAGAACCCATTTATCAACAGTAAAATGTAAACAGTAAAACAGTAAATTTTGGCACACTCACACAGTGATATATGACACAGCAGTGAAAATGAATAAATTATAGATTTTTGCAATAACATGCATTAATCTTATTAACATGATACTGAGTAAGAAAAGCAAGTCCCAATGTGACAGGTGTTTTATATAAAAGTTCAAAAACAAGCAAAACTAAATAATATATTGTTTGGACTTATATATATATGTATATATATATATATATGCTAAAATTTTTTAATTTAAAATAAAAAGGGAACAATAAACATAAAACTGGGTGTGCAAGAAAGGAGGAGCACATAGGTAGACACAAATGTCTATTATTAATAGTGTGAGTGAACAGATATTATATATTAAAATAATAAGTAATAAGAGGACCATACATGGACGAATGATGATAGTGTACATGAAAGAATGATTATGACAAACACAAATCTGTATAGCTGAGATCTACTTTAAAAAAGAGAGAAACCAACTCACTCCATCCCTAGAAAATCATCTATGTTCAACCCACTCTAGAAAGGACATAATTGATCCATGTGAAAAGAACAGGATACTTGGTCCTGAGTCACAGTAAGCAAAGTCACATTGTTACTAAAATTTAGTCACACCCAAGCAAAAATCAGCTCTCTAGTGGGAGAAGTCAGCTGCCAAAACAAACCCACCCAACAGGCAAGAGAATGAGAAAAGAAAAAGAAAAAGATTCTGGAGATCCTTCAAGCATATTCTGAAATAATTATTTCCAAACAAAACTTGACAGTTGTTTACATTCTCTCTAAAAACTTTATTTCAATGTACTTCAATTCTATGGACTCTTAAATAGGAAAGACTCGGCACTGTACAAAAGAAAGCATTTAATACCTCGTGGCCACCCACTTTTGAAAATTTGCCTAAAAAAGGAGTTTTCAAGGCACAATGAAATTGTAAAAGTTAAAAATAACAAATGTAGAGGGTTTCTTATACTTTTCTGGAACCATAATTTCCTTTTCCTGTAGGTGAAAAATTGTCTTTAAGAGTGGGAAATTTCCCTCCCGAAGATACTGAAAGTTTTTAATTCTGATAATGGGCAACAAAGGTTCTTAAGAAGTTACAGACTAATCCATACCACCATCACTAAACGTTGGATCCTAAGGGCAGACAAGGCCAACTGAGAGGGAAAGAGACCGTGTTCATTCACATTATCGCCCATGAATGTAGAAGCAGTCCTGTGGCATATGTACCATATACTCCCAATTCCTTGGCCTGCCTACATTGGCTTAGAGAAGCTGAGTTTGAAACATTTCAGTGCACGATGAAGAGCTGCTAATTAACGTTGCTTAAGCAACTCTCCTACAACAACAGACAACTCCGTTTGATTTTTGTATTATTCTACTCCAGTGATGCTGGGGAGAACATTACTATTAGCACAGAGGGCTTACATTAGTAGTAAAAATCATGATCACCATCATTATCATCATCATCATCATCATCATCTAAC